TTTTTTTTTTTTTTTTTTTTTTTTTTTTTTTTTTTTTTTGTATCCCAGTATTATTTGGTGGCATTCGATTTTTTTTTTGAGAATCAATGGCAGTAGATATATAGATTAAGAGTCTACCTTTCTCTGCTCGGGCTGTGGTGATATTGGTGGATCTGATGATGATATATCTTGAGAGCTATTTTGCGGGTCTGTAGGATTTACTGATTGATAATCGATCTTTTCGTCAGTTCTAGCAGCTTCGAGTTCTTGTTCTGGTTGTTCCATGATATATGTCCCTGTCGCCATCACTTCGTTGGATTCTTCCAATATTTCACCTGACAAAATCGGTTTGTTTTACTTTAAAACCAGTTGTTTCACTTTAATTATATCAGTCATTCCTGTAAACATACCAAACAATGTAACGGTTAAGAATCCTTGTCTATACAGACGAACAATGTACACGCCGGCGAGCAAAAAGTTCTTGGCTATTTTTGGCCAAGAATTTCAGTCATAGACTACAAGTTAAAGTCTTCTTACAGATGAAATTATTAACAACAAAAAGCGTACTAAACAGCTAAAACTCTTAAACCTTCCAGAAGTTAGAGCAGTTTAGAAAGGTGATAATTTGTTGGGCATTTGGGCGAGTATTGTCTTAACTGATTGGTCGTTGACACCCAATCAACACAGTCAGCCATTAGTGGAAAGCATGAATGTGCAAATGTGCGTTTAAATCACGTGCTAAAGGCGGAAACTATCGAACTGCTTTAATTATGTATCCTCTTCATAGGTCATTTCACAGCGCTTTTTGAAGCTACAAAACACATTGGACCGCCTTCGTGGTAATACCTCAAAACAATGCCAAAGAAAATTGTCGTTCTGTTGATAATTAACAGAATAGCAAATTTATCTTGTACAAAAATATGAATTTTGGTCAACAAAAAGCGGTAAACTCAAGCGGTAGACCGACTTCAAGAAATTAAAAGCAAACTTGCAAGAACAAATTCATCAAAGAAAACTAAAGTTCTTGTCAAGGGGTTTGAAACATTATTCCAGAATGTGCTCTTTTTTGTCATTTATAAAAAAGAAAAACAACTTAAGCTTGTTTAAGAAGAAAATCGAATTTCTTGATCAACGGGAATATTGATTAAAGGATTGATCAAGGGATCCGTGGATTTAGTAGTTTCCAACTAACTTCATCCTGCCGGGCTCAAAGGATTTAATGAAAATATGAAACGGTTAGGGCGATATCAAAACACCAGGAAAACTATATCAAGTACAATTTAGAAAACAAATAGAAAGGTAAAGTAGAGCTTGTAAAATAAGTTTTAAAAAAAAGCTGAAGCCATCTTCATAATTTAGCAACTGAACGTTATCATAGTGGAGTGGAGTGAAAACGAATTAAACTTTGAATCGTCAGCTAGTTTTTTTTGTTTTTTTGTTGTTTTTTTTTCAAACCATGATCTTTGGAAAACAAACTTTTCAGAGTCGTTTATGGCCTCCCTATCCTACAAAAAAATGAAATGAATTTGTAGAAGTAGTAATGGATGACAAAAGAAGGGGATTTTTTCACTTCCTAGAAGTTTAGTAATTTTGCCGTCAAATTGGTTGTTCAATCCGCGAATAAAATTAACAGAAAATATTTAATAATGATAGAAAAATCTGCTCCATTTGAAGTAAGTGCATTATACAATTACATATATACGAGATAACTTCATTTCCTTAACTACATAAACATTAATAACTGGACTATAGTGACAGTCGATCAGTGGTTCAGTTCTAGTTCACTATTGAGTGAAGCTGTTCGAGTCTTCTAGGATTGCAATAGGAATGTCTGCCACAAATGTAAAATTATTCCTCTAGTTTAGACATTTAAATGAATTGATGGCTTCTTCAGTAGTTTACGATTATTAAAGATACTTACATATAAAGTGAAGTAATTGCACTTGACAAGGTAGCCTAACCGGCGTTCTCGCTCACCACAGTATAAGGCCGCTGTGAATAAACCTGATCCTGTAGCGAGAAATAAAGCTATCACGAATAAAAGCTAAGAATCGAGCAACCTTCATAAATTCCCCACATAAGCCGGTCGCGTTTTGTTTTGAGACGAGCTAGAATCATGTGAACGAAAATTTTATGTATAATTTAATTTCTGGTGAGATAAAAACATTCGACTCTGTTGCTATGGAAACTGTCTAGGCCTGGGCAGGTGGTAAAGATGGATTCCAATGTTCTTGGACGCGGCCTTGTTAAAAGATAATGGTTTTGTGTATTGATATCATATGATTTTTTAGTATTGCATTATTGGTATCCGGTCTTTAAAGAGAGCACAAATATTAAACCCAAAAAGTATAGAGGTTCTGGGAAATGTACGTATGTTACATGTAAATGAAGAACCTCTTTCGGTCCCAGCCGGCGCGGTTCTGTTATATTTCTTATGTAATCATTACCTACCTTTTTACTTGCCTTGTTTAATTATATATTTCCATGCGTATACAGTTTCAACATTGTAGGGAATACAGTAAATAAACAAAATTTGTTGCTGTTAAAAGAAAGTATACTTTTACACTTGCTTCTCTCTCTCTCTCTCTCTCTCTCTCTCTCTCTCTCTCTCTCTCTGTCTGTCTGTGTGTCGGTCTGCGAGACAAACGGCCGGTGGGTTGGTCTATTGGTCGCCCCGTCTGTCAGTTCTTTTGTATGTCTTATCCAATATATCTGTCTTTCTTTCTTTACGTCCGTGAATCACGCAGCGAACATCATAATATAGTTTACGATTTTTATTTTTATACAAAACATATAATGATACATGTTATATATGAACACATATAAACGATGTATGCTTTTCCTTGAGAGCAAAATAAACTCATATTTTAGGATACAAATGATAACTCGTAACATATGCAGTCTTATTACAAAATATACAATAACTCAACTCCTATCTATTAAAATATATAGCACCCCCCCCCCCTACTCCCATGATTTCTTCTGACAATTTAGACAAAATTAATACTTTTTTTTTTTAATGATAAAAAAATATTCGTTATGTTTTCAACATGTTATCGTATATTACCGTAGCCGTGTAGCTACGCATGGTGATTGGATGAACTGAAGCGTGAAAGCGACGGCAAGCCATTACCATGTAGGTGCTGCTAATCAGTACCGCACTCATCACTCATGCAATACAAGCATTCTATATTTGTTTTCAATCCTACTCACTTTGCGATATATAATGCCATCTTATTTCTACAACATTCTTTGGAAGTTGTATTAAGACGAGACAAATGAGACTGCATTTGACTACGTACGAATGGGCTGTCTTGCTCTCCCTCCTCCAACTTTTTCTTGACCTAGCCCGACACTGACCTTGAAGGAGCGAAAGTTATACGTATTATCTAAATATATATTTCAAGAATCTGTACAGTGTTCAACTTTTACTGACGGCGGTCAGTATCATTCTTCTTCTCATACGGCCCAAACCTCGACAGCCTTCGACTTTCTAGTTTTTCTGCGACGTGGTATCTTTCTAGCTTGATGTCCTTTCTTTTGATATCCCTTCCTCCCAGATGAATGCTTGCAAGGTACTTTCGTTGGTCGTCGCCATTGGTTACGGCGTGACAATGCAGGTCGTTTATGCTGGTTGTTTCTACGGATGGGTGTTTTTCTGCGTCGATGATTTTGACGTCTATGCTGTTGATTCCGCCTGGAGTTTCTCATGAAAGGACTGTGTCTTCTTRATGGCTGCCTACGTGACGGTCTTTTGCGACCATATCTCCTCTTGTTCAACGTAACATCCTTCCTTCCAACCAGTCTTCGACAACATGTTTTAAAAAAACCTTTGTTTAGCCGTGGTTTGTGGTAATGGTTTCCGTGTTTCAAGGTTCCTTTTAGTTTTTTGATGTACTGTTTTCTTAAAGTATGGTAATGATGTCTGTGACTGCGACGTCTGTCTATTTGTTTTTGATGATTACTTTTGGATCTTCTGCGGTTGATGAGTATTTTCCTGCGTTTAGCACGTACTGATTTCTTTCCTACAAACATAACCATTCAAAAAAAACTGTTATTCAAGAAATGACAAGCGTTTTGAAGGTTTCAATGGATTTTGACTAGTGTAGTGGACCAGACTTCACTTCATCTTTCCATCACATGGCTGAGAAAGCAGAATTTGTATTTTTACAATCTGATTATATTTTCAACTCATTACTGAATATATTACCTTTTCTTTTTTYCCCGCTCTTTTTCTTGGGGTCTCTGGTATCGATCGATATTTGGAAGATCAATTTAGATCGTTGAGATCTCTTAGGTACAGCCGATACTCCAGCCACTAGCACACTCATTGAATTACCACCAATACTATTACCATGGTTTCGAGAAAGGGAGTGATCCTCTGACCCCAAAGATCGTGTGGTAAACTGTTGGAGATCGTGTGGAACGCTGGCCAACCCTATCACCAACACCAAGTGTAGCAACGATTTCATCCTTGATTCCGACAGGACTTTCTAAAATCAAAGAATACAACTTACAATAAGCAACTGAATGGTTGCCTTGTATAGTCACCGGGCATTTTTGGATGAAATATTTAGAAAAGGAAACTTTATCCCACTCGTTTTTCAGGTTACAGAAAAGTACTTCATTAGTCGAACTTCAAATTTCAATAGTGAACTAATATGCAAAATCGCTCGACGTCAAATATTTCATGGCACACATATATACATGAATTAAATTACTCAGCCAGTTGAAGAAATATGAAACCCAGCTTAAAAACTCACACACGAAGAGAGGAATTGAAAACACAAAAAAGGCAAAACCTTTCGTGGACTTTCCTTACTATCACACATACTGCCTTGATCTATTGGTCACGAGATGAAGGGAAAAATAGGGTTTATTTAAAAAAATGTTTTAACGAAATCCTGGCATAGAAAAATATATAAAATAAATGAACGTAATGTAAGTAAACAACTGTGTTCTATTGAAGGATTATAAACTCGCGCCGTGATCTGACTCACACTGTTGGAACTACAGTCGGATGCTGTTAAACCTTATCGGTTTGCGATATTCTAGCTGTTAAGAATCTCATAAACAGCGTGCCAATCCGATAAGCAAACAGGCTGTAATACTGAACAACAGACGTGCCTTTTTGGTCCACTCTTTGATAGAATTACTTCTTTCTAAGCCAAGATACATAAATGGTTAAACTAAGCGGGAAAATTGTAGCGAGTCAAGAAAGAAAGCTAAACAAGCTTGGGTTTCAAAAAGATACTTTGTTTTTATCAAAATTAAACTATTTCTAGTTTTCGTTCAATTTCGTTCAAATTCAAATAATTTTTAAGGTCAGATATTTTAACAATTTATAAACTAAATATATGACAGATAGAATACCCAGAAACTGCCAAAATTGTTTGATGGAATCGGGATTGAACTTGGCTATATTATTATCGAGTGAAATAAGGGAACTATTTTTAAGTCACCCGGTTTTATCGGCTAAAGATATTTGAAGAAATGAATCAGAAGTGTTACAAGAAATATAGAATATATAAAAAAAACAGTAGTATTTATACTTACATGTTTAAGTTATAGAATTGAAGAGCTCCCTTTAAGAAGACGTCTTGTGCTATATGATATAGGATTGACTTCGGGGTTAATTTATATACAGTCGTCCCACAAGCAACAGTATGTGGTCCAATCACGCACCCAGGCAAATACCAACAAACCGCTATTGCGCATAACCTGTCGACGATAAGGGTTCACCTTTAATATTCGCCGTTATCCGCCGTCCGTTGGCAGCAAACAGCATGGTTTTTGATGACTGGGAGTCCAAATATCACAGCATGGCAGGGGTTTTATGTTGACTTTATTCTTTATTGGATTACAGAATAAATTCTTATCACACATATGCAACACGCAATAATATATATTTCATAAAAAATAAACTTCTGGATAAATGACTTGGACAAATAACCTTGATATCAGTTCCATTCAGTTCTGTTTGTTTCCGCGTGGGATGTTGGGAAAGTGAGGGAGAATTAATTAAGATTATAATGTTTACATTGACCAATCAATAGCAAAAGGACCTTAACAAAGAGGCTTTAGATGTATGTATGGACGAGTATAGGTAGCATAGGCTGAATATGCGGAAATAAATTGACTCTCTAACCCACATGAAATGAGGAATGTCCGGCTACAACGAGTCTTCTAAATAACCAACATTTCCTGATTTACCAACGAGAATTTGTACACTTAAGAGTGGAAAATAGTAAGGGTCCACCCCAAGCCAATCAAACCTGATAACAGCAATACCAGCCAATCATAATGACTGCATTTGAAAAATTAGTGTGTTGCGGGAAACCTGTGCTTGGTTGGCTGATTTCAAGCCGAGAGAGGCTGGGACGTAGTTTTTGTGTTCTTCCGGGCGGAAGTCATAGTAAGTAAGTAAGTAACACTGTTGGCACTGCTTGTCCCATACTTTATTTTATTTCTTACACATACGCAGAGCGTACGGTAAAGACTGGATAAATACATTTAATAGATAAATAACTTAGTAAGTATGACAAATAGGAAAAACTACGAAACATTAAACTGTAAAACGATAAGAACTATGGAAACGAATAACTTACATTTGTGTATGAAGGGACGAAACTGCGAGCACCAACTAACTAAGTATTTACATAGAGGGCGTATATAAGGCGTACGAAAGCTCCTAAGGGACAAGACTAAATGACGAAAATACTTAGACTGAAACGAGTGAAACAAAAGCTATGGAACACTTATAAACAAACCTAAAGACAAAGAGAACAAGAGAACTACACTAAAAACTCATTATAGGCTTTTCAGATCTAACAAACACTTTATTTAAAGAGGGAACCGTAAATACAGAAAACTGTACTCTCATATTTGCCAGTTGCGAATCAAAAGGTAGGTAACAGCCTCTCTCGGCTTGACGCCAGGCAATGTATTGATTAGTGCACTAACTTAACACGGTCTACGAAAATGTACAAGTGATCTCCTCTCGGCTCCAGAGGTTCTTGGGATGAGGGCAAAACAATTGTCATCTCAAGGTACCCGATTTAGGGGGGAGGGGTGGTGTTACCCGGTACCCACCACCTCTGGAAGTGAAATCTTAGATTTTGTTTTCAAACATCTCCAAAACTAAAAGCCAAACCACAGAAATGAATAGACTGTCTGTCTACATGTATGCTAAAAACATAATTGTGTATAGAAATTGCCACTACGCAGAGCCCCAGTATCGAGCATTTGAACAGGTCTCTGAGGGGGGAGGGGGTATGTACCGGTACCCACCACCTTAATTTATAAAATCGGGTCCCTATTTTGGACCATTGTTTTGACCATTGTTTTGTCCCGTTCTGGTACTCTTGATGTCCCTCTCAAGTGCGGACYACCCTGAAGTCAAGTAGAGCAAAGATCTATCACTTTTTTATATGTATATAACCCTCACTTCAACGAGTGATGGTTCGTTAGATACTTATAAATGTAAAAAAAAGTCGAGTAAATTGATAACGTCGACTAGTGGTTAGTAGTTGGGACTGTGTTGGTGTGTTGAATACAACAAGTGAATAAGAATGACTAGTGGTTACTAGTTGGGGTTGTGTTGGTGTGTTGAATACAAGAAGTTAATAAGAATTATTGACTAACCGCGTCCGTAACGTCAATATTCTTACGGACTTTTTGATACGGTGCCGATTAAGTTTCTCTTGTTTCAAAAACGTTGTGCTAAGCGTGTTTACAAAACGAAGTATAGACTAACTACCGTAGTGACTAAGAACTTCCTAAACAATTCCTCAAGAGGTTAAAACATTCAATCTTATAGCTACTTTCCCGAGTACTGCTTCATTTTTAAGTTCTGACAAATCCTCTGGCAGGTTTTCTAGCAAATCTTCATACTGTTGTATAGTAAATCTGTACATCTCCTCTCTCGAGCCAGACCATAATTTACCCGAAGGCAATTCTTTCAAACCAGAATAAAGGTTAATATCAGGAATAAAGTAGTGTGTCAGATGCATGGTCTTGAGAGAGTGCAGTAACGCTTTCAATATACAAATCAAGTATTGTCTTTCTTCTAATTTAGACAGCGAGGCATCTTCATTCAGGTGAAGAAGAATGGTTTTAATGTGGTAGGTAGTTGTCATTTTATCAACGAAGCTTTCAATTAGATTCCCTGTTTCTTTGTCTTCGATGCTCTTTTTCTTTTGTCTTTCTAAGATCACCTTCATCACTCTGAACGCACTTCTCTGACCTTCTGTCAACCGCCTCATAATGATACTCTCAGCAACAGAAAATGAAACTCGCCATTGAGGTTCTTGTTTTCCTGATTCGTACCTTGGTACAAAATACACACCATTAGCTATAACCTCTTCTATCACTTCCGCCGGAAGTCCATTATGACTTGATGTTTCTTGCCAGGTTTTTGAACACCTCGGCCAAAATGAGAGAGGAGGTTGAAGAGCGAGTACCAAGTCGACATCTATATTCGAACAGGACAACGTGTCATCGACAATTCGCAGTTTAACCGAAACTGCATGTATTTTGACAGTTACAAGGACCTTGTCGGTGAGGTCAAGGTTTTGTAACGCTTTCATCAAAGCTCGATAAAATTTTCTTCGTAACGAAAAGGGATGAAGTTTCTCTTCAGAAATAATGTTCACAAACCCAGGCTGTAAAGTGTCATCTTCTTTTACTTCGAACTTCGTATTCAAAACAAGAAGAAAGTCAAATTCGTTAAGCTGACGAACTTTGAGTCCTTCGGCCATGCTTCCAGATAGAATCACATCCTTGAACTCAAAACTAGGGTCTTCTATCGTCGTTCTCTCGAGAATCTTCGACACAGAATCTTTCACTTTTCTTTCAATATCCAATAACTCACCTTTTTCATAAGGTTTGTGGAATTCCGTTTGTCGATTGGGCACTCGAAATAAAGGAAGTTTGTCTGATTTAGCCATGAATGTGACCTCTGAGACCACAGGCAGTCCAAACAGGCCAAGTGAAATTTAAGACAAATTTTTATTTATCGCCTGAAGCACAGGTAGCCCAAGCTTGGTTTCTGTGGTGTCCTGTTATAAGGAAATGTATGGAGATTCATCAAAACTTTCAATAAAATCATTGAAACGTGAA